AAATCTGCAGAGGATGCACATAGTGTGTGCTCATTCTCCATGTTCCCATCCCACTCACTCCAGCGAGATTAGCACCCTGACCAGCCAGCAAGAGCCCACTTGACAGGCCCACATGGTTTAGATTCATAATCAGATTAACAAAACAGTAATCCTATTTTTAAACAATGAAAAAGCCAAGTCCTTGAGGCGGTGAGCTGGTATGTGTGTGTGCATACAGAATAGATCCTTTTGGAATAAAGAACCTTAATATAAAATGAAAAAAGTTTCTTCCACAGAGGAAACTCTGCCCTGTAGAAGAAAAAGGGACTATCTTATACCACTTCTTTCCCATTGGTTTTGATCTCTGATGGGCCCACTCCAATACTTGCAGGATGCATCTTCTACAATACACACATTTTAAATAATACATCTTCTACAATACCACATTTTAAAATAATACTTAAAGAAGTGAACTACTTCCCAAATGCTCCAGAAACTTTAATTATGAATGTTCCAGTACTTATACTGTAAAAACTGCCCATGCACTGGAAAATGAGCATATTTCATACACTCAAGGTAGCAGACTCACAATGGAAAAAATCTCACTGGGCAACCAGCAGCATTTGTCTCTGTCACAGTATTTCCAGCACCGTTGCATTTTCCCAAATGATGCGGAAACTCCTTCCCCAGTTCCAGCACCCACTTCTTTTTCCCCTCCCCATCCTCTCCTGGTGCTGCCACAGACCGGCCCCAGCCTTTCCTCTCAGCCGAATGACTCAGAAGGTGCCCGCTCAAGGGACTGAAGGAGAACCGTCACTGCTCGCTCCTGCTCAAAGCCGGCCCGACATTGCCATCGCCCGGCCCGGCCCCGCAGTGCAGCGCGCCGGCCTCCCGGCCTTCCCGAGGCCGATTTAGGACTCGGGAGTTTTGGGAGGTGATGGAAACCCCTCCTGCTCCCCACGTGGCCCGTCAGGCGCCTGCTCAAGCCTGCAGACCTCATCACACTCTGTTTGGCAGCAGAGGCACTGCGAGGTGCACCGAGGCACTAGAGCTCTGCAAGCACGGAAGGGAAGGTGACCTGTTCTTAAGGTGCTGCCACCAGACCCGAGTCAAGAAACCACTGGAAAAGTCTAGAACGTGTATTTAAACAGCAAGCATCAAGATGTGATAACTTAAAACGCAGAACAGCTGAAGAAGTGGCAGTTACATTACCCAAGAAATGGAATTTACAGGGAGTGCTAACCCCCCATATGAGATGAAGTTTTAGGACCCAGGTTTGGCTTTCTGCAAAGTGCATCTTTTAGGCCAAGTTAACAGTAACTCCCCATTTTAATGCAGAGCACTAGAACTAAGCTGAAAGGCCAGGTGTTCCAGGATATTGATTTTTCTTCCATTCTCTTTAAATATAATTTTCTAAGTTCTTTTCCCTGCCCTTCCTACACGACTGTTACTCACGGAACCAGCTTGGAAGCTCGGCTTGGCAACCAGCACACAGAGAAAATCTTGATCAGTAAACTAGACAAAGAGGGAGGAATGAAAATGTATCAGTGGAGATCTTGCTCTGTGCTGAAAGTGCTTGTCAAAACACACATGATCTCAGCAATAAATACACAAGAACAGCAGCTGCCCACCTGCCAGCGCCTCGCAACAGAAACCTGCCACGAAAATGTGCATTTTCCCCCCACAAAGCTGAGCTGAGGGGACCTATCCCACTGCAGACATTGGGTTTTCATAAGAAAAATAACGGAAGTTTTTGAAGTTGCTGGCTCTGGAGCTGGGAATATGGGCAGGGTGTGTGTCAGGCGTGGAACAGCTGGCTTGGAAGCTCCCACAAAATCAGCTACAACGGTGCAGCCGGGCCAGGACACCACCCAGCCAGCAGCCGTATGCTTTTCCTTCGTGGTTGCAGAGCTGTTCCAAAAGCCAAGCTTTCATTCCACAAAGGAGGGAGAGGGGGGGAAAAAAAAAAAAAAAAGAAGAAAAACCCAAGGCTTCAGCCCATCCAAGTCTAGACCAGCATTTTTTTTTTTTTACAGCTGGAAATTACATAGTTTTAGTGTTCAGCAACAGTGTGGACAGAAACACACTGAGCCTCGCTCGTGGCTAAACTGATCCCTTAAAAAGCTGCCACTTTTGAACCTGTCCAAGGGCAAAATTCATCCATCTGATGCAGAGATGTGTGCTGATGTGCAGCCAGGCTTGCAAAAACACAATTGCCCGTAGAAGGGAGCAGCCTGGTTGAGCAGGAGGCAGAAAGAACAGCGTTAGGGGGGTTTAGATGCAGCCAGTAACCACAGGGCTGCTGGTAAAATGTACAGGAGACTGTCAGGCTGGATGCCATCCTGCTTCACAGAGCTCTGGAATGTGAGGTCACCTTCTAGAGAGGGGAATAAGACAAAGCCCAGGAAAAAACACTCTAATTTAAACAGCTGAGCTGAGTATCAGCGGAGTCTGAGCACAGCCCAACTCTTTTTTTGAGTCAAAATAGTACAGAACCGTATAAAACACAGCAGATGAGATTTGTTAGAACTGGCATTCCACACCTCCATTCAGACTCTGCAAGGGCAGCTGTTCCTTGCAGATACAGGTGTAATTATCATTTTCATTCACACTGATCTTTGATTAACACACAGGTAACTCCGGAATGCCTGGGAACAGCTCTGCTGACAGATTCCCTGATTGCCCTCACCCTCCCAAGTCCATCCTCTGCTATTCATTAAAAGTGTCCAGCATAAGTAATATAATTTTTTTTAAAAGCCCAAGTATGCAATCTCTCTCTTAAAATCTTTCCCTCATTTCACAATGTTTCTGAAAGGCATAAATAAAGCCAAATAAATTTTATGAGTGTGACAACACGGGAGCTTTTTTGTTCAGTTTTAACTCCAGTGCTCAGTATCTCCTGATGAATAGTTAAGAGAACTATGTACAAACCAGATCTCATCTGCAATTTAAAGAAAACAAAAAATTTTGCTCCTCCAGCATATAAACCATCCAAAACCAATAAAAATACTTAGCTGCACATTTTTCAGGCATTTTTTGTGCCTCTGAACACTTGCTTGATTTAGGATTTTTCAATACCTAAAATACATTACTCTACAGTGGTTAAATACCATTTTACAGCAGTTTAATAGCCTTGAATTAGCTCTTAAGTTTGTTACCCACCTTCTCCCAGACAAAGGTATTTCCAGAGCACCTGCATCAGTAGAGCAAGAGGCTTCTTGCATAACTGCTCTAGTGGGGGGGAAAAAAAGAAATCTCCTGAAGGCTTTTTAATATGATCTTTCATAATTCAAGTTCTTGGGAATTCATACCAAAGCAGGAACAATGGATTCATTAAATAGTTCACTTTCACCTAATGCTTTCTGCATGCCTCACTCTTAAGCTATAAAGCAGCAAGCAACCACCTTTCCATAATGTTTGTGGTCAAGGGAGAGCTTTCCATTTGAAGTCACAGAGGAAAAACCCTTCCATCTTGTGCAGGTTATGAGCCAAAAAAGAAGTTTTGCAAACTGAGGTTCTTCCTCCCACGCTGTTCAATAGCTTAGAAGTGTCTGATCAAGACAAATTTAGGGACTTGAGGATTAAAATAAAATATAAAAAAAAAAAAAAGGGGAGAGAAGGTTGAAGTTTCCAGAAATATGTAAACCACTTCATTCTTACTTGCTATGTCCTAATAAATCTCAGAACTGGGCAAAAAGCCATACCCCTAGTCCTAGCCAGAAGCAAGCCTTGGGTCACAGAGAGAGATTAGCACATGCTCAGTTCAGTCCTGCTTATTTCTTAAAATGTTTTTTACTGAATTAAATCAACCCATCCTAACCATTTCATCAGCACAAGGATTTCTGCTTCATTATGACAAACCTCCCCTAGTTGTTTTTCTGAAGACAACCCCTCAGTGTGTTGCCTGTTTCCCCAGCACAAAGGGAAGGTGTTCCCCAAGGCAGGAGCGAGATTACAACTTATCCCTCTTTCCTGAGAAGGAACCTTCAGACCTTGCAAATATCCTTCCCCACCTCTAGTTTTCTTTTGCCTCATTAAAGATTAAAACCTGAACTTACATACGCCAATCTGTGTTACAATGATAGGAATTTAAGTTTACATACCAAAACGGGCAATAGCCAGGAAATGAAAGTTAGTTTCCATAGGAACATCACAACAGCATTTCCACTTCTCCACACATTTGAACACACACTTTGTGGTCTAAAGCAAAGCTCAGTTACGATGAGTTCTCTCTTCTATGCCCACAGCTGGATATACACCAGAAGGATGAAGACCACACACTTATTCCTTGCAGCCCCTCACTTGCCAGTGTGACACATTCACTGGCCAGAGCCCTCCTCAGCACACACCACCCTCAGCCTGGGTGCTGCACAACCTGGCAGCAGGCTCATCTCATCATCTCCCATCCCGCTTTATACACATTTATTGCACTAGAACACCTTCCTTCTATGAAAAGATGCTGTAGGAAAACCAGATTTATCATTGGTTTGCAATTATATTTAATATTGATAATGTCTTGTTTTTACAAAGCAGTTGAAATAAAATTAAAAAAAAAAAAAAAAAAAAAAGGAATAGCAAGAACCCTCCCCCCCATCTGCTGTCTAGCATGTCTAGCATCAGTTATCCTCGCTGGTTTGTTTACCATTTATGAGGAAAACGTCATTCAAGCTGACTTGTTACAGAGACTCTTCTGCAATAACTGGCCACGGTGCAAATCTGTGGCGTTTGTCAGACCACCTGTGTTTTTCCTGGAAGTCCCTCTGCCTAAATTCAAAGTGTCTGCCAATGATAATAACCTTCCTCTCTAAATTACCTTCCAGACAAACGCAGCAGATCTGGTAACACACGTCTGAGGATGGCAAACATCCTCATTTTTGCAGAGGTAAACAGAGATAATTAAATTTGCCTGAGGCCAGTGTTGTGAATAGCCAGAGAGCCCAGATCTCCCCATTCCAGGTGATTCAACTGGGCTGGAGTGAAAATTAACTGATTACACTGGGAATTGCTTCTCTGTCCTCTCCAAGAGGATCAGGTATTTCTCTGGGGTAAGACCATCCAACGCAGTTTGGAAAGGGTGTGAATCTGTTTTAAGTGACCAGCAGCACTAAACCAGCCCCAAAGGAGTCCCTGTGACAGGCAAGCTGTGGGCAGTTAGACAGTGGGTAAGATCAAGCCTGCTGGTGCCGTGGGGCACTGGGGAGGTTAACCTCATCCACCTGCTGACGGGCCTCTCCGGCCTGGTCTCCAGGAACACGTTCCACCTCCTTCTCCAGACAGTGGGTTGTAGCCTGGGAATACAGAGGAGAAATCCATCACGTTAACATTCACCCTCCACAGCCCTTCACCAGCACACAAGGAACACCAAAAATACATCTCACCTCGTTTATACTTAATACATAGGCAGCATTTTATGGAAAATGAAGGCAGAGAAAATATCCAGACTTGAGAGGGCTTATTTTTGTAGTGCCAACAGTAAAAGCCATTGCAAAACACTTGAGTTTTAATATGATCGATTTGGATTAAATTAAATTGAAATGAATTACCATTCGATTTCTCTAAGCCTGCACTAAAGCTGTAGTGCTGCTCTGCAGGATAAACAGAGCAGGAACAGCAGCTTTTACAGTAAACTCTGTGGGACTGTTACTGTTTTCCAAGAGCCCTAATGGTCAGGGACTTAAATAATCCTGTATTCCAGACCTGCATGGAATACTCTCAAGGTCAAAAGGTAAATCCACTCATTACTACTGCAAGGTATTTTTTTAGAGATTTTCAAAAGGTGAGCACAGATGGTGAGAAAAATACATTTCAGTTAAACATCCTAATGCTTCAGCCATGGGAAACTTCATTTCAGGACACGCTCGGAAAGATAAAACCTGGCAAATGTCCTCAGTTTGTTCTGCACAAAGCAAAGTACCCAAATGGTAGCAGCACTGTTAACCAAGTAGGTTTCCCTGTTCCACTGAAACTCCCAGCATCACCTTCACCTTCTAAATTTGTTTTTCTCAGAGTAGCCAAGTTTCTCTTTCTAGCTTAATTCATCAGCTGAACAGTGCAGATGGTTCTTTCACTTCATGCTGATCTCACCTCATGAGAAGATACCAGACCTTTAATTCTATAATTGGTTACTTGAGCAAAGATTTTGCTTAGGATTAAGCCAGGAGAGGTAGAAGGTGGAAAGGTGCCTCAGCCCAGCTGCCCTGATCCTGGTTCTCAGCACAGCTCTAACCCACACACTGCTCATTCCCAGGGAGGTAAAAATCCCACGTGAGAGCTACCAAAGATATCTGATAGGATCAGACATCACACTGCCCTCATATTAAGCAACCTAAGGTAAATCAACTTCTTGATTCCTTCAAATGTCAGGAAAAATACTCAAAGCAGAAATTTCAGCGCTATTGAGGTTTAATTGACATTTAATATGTTTAATCAAGAATCTGCAGATTTTATGCATTTAATCAAGTGACTTACTCAGTGCTGCACCCTAAGTGGGTTTCCCTTTCAGCCTGCTATGATTAAGGTTGTCTACACGATCCACTCTACTGTGGAAAACTGCAATTAAAATATACCCAGAGCAGCATTTGCAGGTAAGGCACAGGCTGTTGGGCTGAGAGGAGAGAAGGGAGACTGCCTGCATGGCCAGTGTATGGCAAGGAGCCCAACAAGGGCGGTGTGAGGCCACAGGAGGCACTTCATCCATCAAGGTGATTTCAGCAGGCGACAGTGAGTTTAATGCTGAGACCTACTGGTGTTTTGTGACAGTTGATAATGGTTTATACATCTGCAGGATTTATACATTCAGTAGGTCATTATTGCGGTATCTGTTAAATAAGGTCAGGTTTTGCATAATTAAGTCTTTCATCTTCCTGAATCTACATAATAAATTTACAGGTGTACTTCCAGCATTTAGCTCATGCTATGGGTGCTTGAAGGACAGAGCAGGTATTAAATTACTGGACTTCTACCATAATGGGGGAGGTATCCCAGAAATATTGTGAAAATCTATAATTTTGAGCGACAAAAAGTAAATCATTAACAAAAAAACTGGAACACTGTTTTCCTGGGGAAAAGCCCCACAAAAACTTCCTGCCAGGTTTTTTTGCACAAAGTGCAAGAGCAGACCAACTGACCAGAGACACGCAGCTCGTTTGTAAGGCACATTTTGCTTCCTCACTGATGAACACAAGAAGTCTGTACAGTGACTATGGACACAGCTGGATAAATGCTCTGGGTGTCTCAAGGATCCCACACTTACCCCCTCCTCGCAAAGGCTTCTTGTTTGGTTTAGATTTCGGGACCGCTGAGGTGGAGGCACCAGACTCTGCTTCTTGCTGTTCAGAGAAGCAGAAAGTTACTGAGTGTGAACTTCAGTTCATTTAAACACATAAACAAAAGTGTGACCTGACTAACACGGTTGTTACCTGATTGAGTTTCAGGTTTCCTTTGTAGCTCTTCCCCTCTTGCATGCTTTCCCACATGGCTATCTTCTGCCTCCGCTTCTCTTCTTCCAGCTGCAGAAAAAAAATCCAGGACATACAAGATTTCAGATCAGAATCTCCAGAAACAGCTACGACAGACTCATCAAACCCCGAGGGATCCACCTTTATGTGATGCAGTAGCTCTGAGCTTATGGAAGCATTTACTTCTATACACACCCACATCTTCCCCTTCTGGGTATGTGTCTGTATGTTCCCCTCCTCAGACTGTGTCTGCAGCTTCTTCTGGCCACTTGATGCTTTAAAACATTTTGAAAGTAAAACAGAACCAAGTGGCAAGCTTACATCAACATTCCAGGGAAAACGAGTCTCCTGTTTGTCTGTATCTAACATGGAATAATCATTTCTTTAACAGCAGCAAAGTACTCGCTGACGAGTTTATGAGTTAAAGAAAGAAGCAGTCTCTGGTCACCTGTTTTTGTTTTTCTTTGTATCTTTCTGCTTGTGCATTCAGCTCCTCCTGCATCCTGAGGCGAGCTGCTGCCAAAGCTTCCTGCCTTCTCACCACCACATCAGGCTCTAGGAAATTGGGAAAGAGTTTGCAAAGTAAATTCCAGATGATCTCCCCAAAGAACTGCAACAAGGAAAGGCTCACATCTCTCCCTGCAGCTGTTCTGCAGAAAATCACAGCTTAAGTCCAGTTTCCTGCTAATCTTTTACAGTAATTTCTATGCTGATTTAAATTTCATCGCGCTTTCACATTTTAAAGTTTTAATCTATTGAATTAATAAGGACAACGATGTAACTGACCCATAAAAAAATTAACCTCACACTTCTGGGGTACTTGCTTCTATTTCTGAAGGATTTGTTTGATACAAATAAATTCAGAAATATCACCCAGGCTTCACAGGGATCCCATTTTTACCCAGAGAACTTCTTTTACGCAGAAGGCTGAGGCAAACCAGCCCACACTCACTCCTACTCCTTCTGGCAAAGAGTCCTGCTTGTGTCGGTGCTGCAGTGGATTTAACACATTCCACCAGCACAGAAATCACTTATAAACATGACACATCTCTCTAGAGACACCTGGAGGTCTCAGAAAAATCTACATGGAGTCACCGCTTCTCTTCATGACTGGCCCTTAGGAGAAGTCAAAAGAAAAATTACGCCCCCAAAAAGGCAAATATTATTCTCCTTTTTCCTCAGGCAGCTGAAGTGTCTCCCCATTTGTTGGCCTCCTTATATGTTTGCTACCATCCAGTGATGACTAAGTGAAACAAATGTCAGCACTTTCAGTAATTTCACTTCACAGGCAGTTCTGGCACTTAAACCACGGCTTAATTAGCACCACAAAAGAGCAGCAGTGGGATGAGGGCACGCAAGGGAGATTTTCTGGGGCCCCACGTTCAAGGTTCCAAAGGGATGGGTGCCAAGCTCTCATGGACTTGGCAGATCCACAGGCACAGCCTGTGCTTTTACAGCAGGATCCTGTCCCTGTAAGCCTTGCAACCTGTGCCACACTCACTGAGATAACACGGGCTGCTACACCCCAAATGTACACAGTGCTGCAGGAGCAGGAACTGGGAAGGACTTAATTTGAAGAAAAACAATGAATACTAATTAAAAAAAAAAAAAAAAGTTAATATTTTCCCCCAGGGGTTAGATTTGGTTTTGTTTGGTAAGTTTGAAAGTTAATCCGGTAAGTGACCACATCTGCTTTTAGCCACCATTCCCTCAGCTCCTGCAGCACCAAGGGGCAGCTGTTCCCCTGTCCTGCAGTGCCCAACCACGTTCCTTCGGGACGCAGCCCTTCCTTCAGAACCTTTTAAAAACACTTCTCCCGGCCCAGCTTTTCCCAGTGATCTCTTCCCTCCCAGCGGATGGACGCCGTTATCCCGAGCATCGCTCCCCATGGATACTCCTCAGGACCGAACCTCTTCGGGGCTGTTACTGACCCCAGGCCCGCGTGTGGGTCCGAGCAGGGTCAGACAGCCCGCCCGGAGCGCGCAGGGCCGGCAGGACCCGCAGGGGCACAAACACCGCCCCGGGGAGGGCGCGGGGCTTTATTTCACTGTGTTTACTCACCCTCTGCCGCCTCAGCCGCTCCGTGGGCGCCCGGCCGCGCCGCCAGGCTCCGGGACACCTTCTGCACGAGCAGATAGACGGCGACGGCGGCCAAGAGGATGTACCAGCCATAGCTGGACAGCAGCGACCCCACTGCGAGGGGACAGGTCGGGGGTGAGCGCGACATCGGGCCCGCCCGGCCCCGCCCTCGGCCCTGCCGCCCCACACCCGCGCCCCCGGCCCCCGCTCCCCTCACCCGTGTGCTGCAGCACCTCCAGGCCCCCCCGGCCCAGCGACGGCCCCGGGCCCGGCCCAGGCCCCGCCGCGGCCCCGCCGCCCCCGAGCTCCAGCACCGCCGCCATCGCCGCCGCCTCACGGCCGGCACCGCCCCCGCGCCGGGCACGCCCTCCGCGCCAATCACCGCCCCGTCCGCTGCCGCCTGAGCCAATCAGCGCCCCGTCCGTCACTGCCTCACGGCCGGGAGCCGCCCCGCTGAGCCAATCAGCGTCCCGTCCGTCACCGCCTGCGCCAGCTACATTCCCGTCCTGCGCCTCTGTGCCAATCACCGCCCCGTCCGTCACCGCCTCACGTACGGACGACGCCCCGCTCCGCCAATCACCGCCCTGTCCGCCGCCAACTCCAGGAAGCGACGCGCCCCTGTGCATGACAGGTGCGGAGGCCAATGAGAGCAGAGGGGCCTGCGCACGGCGGCCAATGAGGGCGCGCAGAGGGTCCCGCCCGTCCCGCCCCCGGAAAAGTTCGCGGCACTGCGGGGAGAAAAAGGGAGCGCTGGTTTATTGGACACCGAAATGTGCAGGGACGGGGGCGATGGGCCCAGAGCGGGGCGGGAAGGGGCTCCGGGGCAGCACCAGAGCCGGCTACGACCCGTTGGGCACCGTGTCCTCTTCCATTTCTTCTTCGCCGTCCTCCGAGGGGCCTGAAAGGACACGACAGAGTGTTAGGGCAGCTGCCGCAGGGACTGATGTTCTTTTCCCACCCTTCTGCACAGGAGGAGTAATAACGGTTACTAATAATACTAGTAATTATTAATTACCATTAATAACGGTTAATAATAAAAACACTAGGAAGGAAAATCCAAGCAGCAGTGACAAAGAGCAAACAGGTGACGTGAGGAGCCTGCTATGGGCTGTGCGTGCTTGGAGAGCTCCAGGGACCCACAGCCCAGGCACCGACACTTAGCACGAGTCCAGATGGACTTTGTAATTAATCTCATGTTTAAAAATATTTTTTAAGTATTTTTAAAATATTTTTTGGAGCTATCCAATAGAGTGAAGCCCCTTGTTTGGCACCTGCCCTGGAGGAAGTGCAGTAACAGCCCTGAGCTGCACTCGAGGCCAGGCAGATCCTACACCAATTAGGAGTCAGGGATGTGCTCCACAGTCCTTCTGATGATGGTTACTCTCATCTAAAATGAGCTTTTCAACTCCCAAAGCGTCCTTTTCTCGTAACTCCCTACTGAAATCACATAAACCATCAGAAGGTTGGATTCTGCTTGGGGAACGAGTAACAGAAGTGAAGTGACCTGATTTTCGCTCTCTGCCAGGGATCTGCCCAGCCTGCAGCAAACCCTTCAGCCTCTCCACCTCGGCCAGAGTCGTGGCATTTGCTATGGCAGTCTGAAAACAGACAGAGAACACGGTGAATCTTCACACTCAGCACCTCACTCTGCTCAGAATCAGCACAAGACACAGGTTTTGCTTCCAAGCTCCTACGAAAGTTCTACTAAATCCTAGTTCTAGAAAATTCTAAGTACAATCTTACTTCTCTCCTTATTAAACAAACTGCTCTCCCCTGGGAGATCTCTAAGCTCAAACTTTCATTTAAGTTCTCAAAAACAGGTATGTCAGTCAGAAGAAAAACTTCAGAAAAAGCACCTAAACAAAGTCAGGACATGCTGATCTGTCTGAACAAAGGAAACATTTGTTCAGTTTGGATCCACGACAGTTTTTCTCCTGACCCATTTACCTTAATTGCCTCCACGTCCCCTGGGGAGGGCCCAGTTTTCTTTTTGTCAGTTGGCAGACCAGCCCCGGGGTTGAAGCTTCAAAGGAAAAATAAAGACCAGTTAGACTTTTTGAAGAACAGGTGCTTCTCTAACTTGAAATGTTTCCAAACTGGGTTTGGAAGCATTTCATTCAATCAGGTGTAGTATCTTATCTTTGTTAACAAACTGATACAGTGAAGAATTGCCTCCTTCAGAAACACCAGCAACTTGTCCTGCTGTCCCATTATCCCCACCACCACCCTTTTCACCTGCTCAAAAAGAGAGGCAGAACTTAACTATTAATTAGGCAGTTGACAAAAGCTCTTTGCTTTGGATGTTGTTGAACACTCAGGAGGGTCTGCTGCCATTACAAAAGCAGGGTGGATAAGTAAAGAGTAACTGAAACTGGGTTTCCCATTCTCATGTGTCCAATGAGATACTGCAACAGAATATGTTAAAGCCTCTACTAGACTGGGTGTCATCTCAACACTCCAAAGGAAAAGGTTATTTGCTGCTGCTTTAAGGACAAAAAAAAAAAAATCTGTAGTATGTCAAAATAGAAAGAGCTGGAAAGGAATTCCTGGAGTGCTGACCCAGCACCAGAGTGCTGCAACCTCTCCTGCAGCTATGGAAAGGTTTCCTTCATGTTTATTGAGCTATTTAGTTCACTCAGCTGCTTGTTCTGAAACTACCACAGACCTGACACCCTTTCCACTCACAAACTAGAGCTGGAGTCCATCTATTAGAACTTGAAATGCCAAGTAAGTTCAAGATGTTTTTTTATTTAACTATGAATTTGAAATGCTGTTGCCACACATGATCTGAATTCTTACTTCCACATAGGCAGAATAAACAAAACATATGATGTACAACCTAGGAATGAAACTAAATAAACATATACTTGCAATAGCTTAACTAAAGATTTTCATCTGCATTTATCCTCATAACTCTGGTAGATATTATAGTTTATATTTCCTGGCAAAAGAAAAAATTTTAGTTACTAATTATCTAGGGGGAAAAAAAACCAAAATAGACTAAGGCCACCTCTCTACAGTTAAATAACAAAAAGAAAAAATAAAATTTAGATTTCCTGCTCATTGATTTCAACGAATCCACCCTGACCAAAGACCTCTTTCAAAGATATTCCTGGGACGCATTCACCACCATCCAAAACTCGGGGTGCTTGGACCAGGCACTTCTGGCTCCCAAAGCTTTCAAGGCATCCTGCCAAGCAGCTGATATTCCAGTTTTCTGCCTGCCACTGCACACAAAGGAGGTGGTGTTTCTGAAGGAGGATGCCAGTGTAAACTTGTGTATTTTATCTTACGTTTTTGCTCTCCTGGCAATATCCTTTGCAAGCTGTGCACCCCGTTTGCCCTTGAACATTTTCTCTGCCTCCTGTCGCTCCTACAGCGATACCACACACACAGAGTTAATTTGAGAACATCACAGTTTGCAAAGCTTCTGCCTTTGCCAAGAAAAGACACTTTGGCTCATCTTCATCACTGAAATCGGTACATGGGGGGACCAGACATAAGAACAAGCAGATAAACATTGCCCAAAAAACTCAAAGATGTATCAAGCTTGTGTTCTTAAAATTTAAACTCTTTCCCACACTCATCTTCACCGAGAGCTGAGGGCTCTGCTGTGATTGCTCATTTCTTTCTCTAGAGGTCTGTCTTCTACCAACCCCAGAGGGACAGAAAAGAATAACACTGAACAAAGGCAGTAAAAATTAATTACACATAATTAAATGGACTATACCCTTAACAGAATGAAACTGTGAAAGAAAACAAGGAGCGTGTTTTAAAGCCACTTAAAGAGTTTCAATAAAATTTACAGCTACGGCAAAAAGCTTTCTGTTAGTGAGGAATTTTTAAGAATGAAAAAAAAAAATGTGCTAAATCAAAAGAAAGCAGACTTACTTTGAGTTTCACTTTTTGAAAATCCAGCACTCTGACCTGGGGAACTTTATGGATTAGGTACAATCTGTAATGCTTCTTATTTGTTACAGGATTCCTTAAAACGCTATAAAGCAAATAAAGGTTATAAAGAAGTTCTTAATATAAGATATCTTAAAATACATTTGTAGTAAAATACATTAATATACATCGAAGTGCATTCATGTAGCTTTTGCTGTAAGACTACAAATAACACCGTTAAAAAAGTTCTTTGATATGATGGAGACTACAGTAAAAACTTGCACTTCATTAATAAGTAGATTTTGCTGAAGAAGGACATAAAGAACAACCTCAAAATAAGAATAAAAGCCCCAAACAAATAACTGAACCATCACATTTCCCACCTGGACACTGATCAACTGAAAAACCACAGAACAAACTACTTTTCTTCTTAGATCAAACGTAAGGTTACAGAAAAGTCCTTGCTTACACAGCTTAAAATAGTTTGGAACAACAGTTTAAACCTTTTTAGGTTTTTAAAGGTTTTTAAAGGTCAAGTTTACTTCAGCCCTTGCTGGTTTATAGAGATGTTACATCTCACTGGTCCAGCAGCACTCAGTGACATAAAGCCTCAGACATTAAATAGCAGATGTTTATGAAGCGCAGTGGAAACTTTAGTAATTCAATTTTTAGACATAAAGGATCTCTCACAGCTCATAAAAAGCAGAACATTCCAGGCCAAAGCAGAGAGCCAGGCCAGCAGCAGAGTTCAAACACCAGAGGAAGAGCAGCTTTTGTTTTCAGGGTTACATACCTCAGGTAAGTCAGTGATTTAATTGTTGCTAACGGATCCAGTTCACCCTGGGAAACGAGAGCACAGCCAGAAACTCTAAGTCCATTTAGTGAAAAAGCACATATTTGAAAACAAAGTTCCTGAACTCTTATCTATTTTAGAGATTAGTAAGAATGACTGCAAGTATTTTAACAGGAAACCCACTAAGCTTTGTGCAAGCTGCAGATCATGTTCCTTAAAGTATGTTCACCATTAACACCAAAGCCACATGATATTAACTCTAAAGAACCAACTATTACCAAAAGCACATGGCCCTACTCTCAGGAAAATGGTTAATTAGAAAGATAAAAATCGCAAATTTAAGCCTGTTTAGCTCTATCCTGCACCACAGCTTACCAGTTCAGCAATGTTGTTGTTGGTGAGAATGAGCTCTGTGAGGCTGGGCAGAGCCTGCTCCAGGTTCTCCCCAATCCGACTGAAGGACAACAAAAACCAAAGGTTTAATTTAGGTCAGGAATCGTCAGAGGTGAAAACACACACAAACATGACAAAACAGAGGGTCTCCCTGTGAAACAACCCAGCCTGGCACGGGCAGAAGTTTGGGTGAGCACCCACCACAACACTTTTCCTAACAAAGCTGGCAACAAATACCAGAGCACTGGGTGCAACATGGGATTTAAACCCATTCACTTGCAGGTATCCCTGTTTTCTTGTCTCTGCAGGGATGATTATAGAAATCTAAAGTTCTGGCCAAATTTCAAACTCTGCACCTCGCTGTCCTGGCTGAAAAACAAAGACTGACTCTTGCACTGAAAGAGGAAGGAAAATCAAAGAGGGCATATATAGGGCTTTTTTATTTTATTTCCATAAAACAAACACTTCTGCACCTGCCCAGCACTGACAGTCACACACATTTCTCTCCCAAGAGCATCTTCCTCTGCCCCAAGGTCCCACCTGGCCCAAACA